CTTGGAAAAGAATTCATTCATTCAACTTCACCCACTTATGCGCATGTTCCATGAGCCTGAAAAAGAACACCCAAACACAAGCCAACCAAAAACAGGTGGAACTGGATTAAATAACAAATCAGTAAGCCAATCATAAACCATTATCCATCCATCCATAAACATATTTCCAAAATATAACCAAAAAAAAAAATAATCCAACTGTACCAAGGAAGGATAACCAGAGAACAACTGTACCAAAAAAAAAAAAAATGTACCCAAATCAACTGTCAACTGATCAACTGTACCCATACAAGCAACATTACTCCCCCTTTTTGGCCGGGAAGGAAGAAAGCAGGAAATCAAGCACCAGGTGGAGGAGGGGCCGGCTGAAGCGTCAGTAAGGAAATGATGTGGTCCAGCTGCGAAGTAGTGTGAGCGGCAGTCTGCTCCAGCTGACCAAGACGACCATCAAAGGCATCAAAACGAGCATCAAGAAAGTCTAACCTCCGGGTCATAGCCTCCTCAAAGTGCCGAAGCTGATCAGGAAAAGAGCTTGGGGGAACAGGAGCCTCATCATCATCACCGGCTGTGGTGGCATCAAACTCGGCTTCTTCAGCAAGACCAGCAGCAACTCCTGCAGAAGGACCAACCCGGGATGACTCCCCCTTAATATGAGCTCGACTTTGAGACACAGTTTTCTTGGTAAAAGGGCGAGAAGGAGAGGCAAACTCATCATCTTCTAGGATAGGGGTCCCAAGGTCAGACAAAATTCGGTTGATCAAGCAACCGTAGGGAAGGCCAAGCTTTTTATGCCCATGAGCACCGATCATCTTTTTTATAATAAGAGAGGCGAGATCAATAGACCGGTGACGGGCAATACAGGACAAAATGAATCCTAGAGAGAGAGAGAGAGAGAGAGAGAGAGAGGAGCCGTGTTGTGCCCTGTATCTGGATGCGACTCGATCGGCGATGCCTAAGATGAAGCATCTGCTGCGAAAGCTTCACATCGGCGGTGGCTGCAACAACGGCAACCACCACCCGTCGCCGCCGCAGACGGCGGAAGTGACGCCGCCGTCGTCTTCTTCTTCGGCTTCATTGGAATTGGCATTGATGAGAATCAGAGCGGTTGAGTCGGCGGAGAATTCGGTTGATTTCAATTTCTTTGAAGTGGAGTTTCAGGTACAACTTGCCCTAGCGATCAGTGTTTCTGACCCCGATTCACGCTAAGATCCTGAAACGGTGCAGATCAAGGATGCCAAGCAGATTAGCTCAGGGTGTGTGCCCTCTGAAACCCTGACTGAGTCTCTCTCTTCGGTATTGGGTAATGCTTTAATTTTGTTTTTTACATTGCATATGGCAATCTTTTGTATGTGCTTTGGTTGCATTTATTGGCAAATTTGATCGAATTGCTTCAATATTCTTACTCCAGATCTGTGTTTTTTTGTTTATAGATATTAATGAGTCACATTTCAATTTTATATTTGATTCATAGCTTCAAATTGATTAGATTCTACTATAGTTATTTTTGTGTACATATGTACCAAGGTTTCAAATAATGGTGGCATTGATGCGGTTTTGAGGTGTAACGGGCTTAGCATAACTGGTGCGGCAACCAAAGCTGTGAAATTGCATTTGTTGAGGTTTAAAATGTCTTTTTAAGTGGATTTAGTACTAAATTTTATATGATTTTTAATGGTGTCGTAATGACCAGTTAGGGGTTTTACATGAATTTATCTGTTTTAGAGAAATGAATCCAGATGCTGTCATTCAAATAATAATAAATCACTACTAAGGACAATTATGTGCAAAATACGATGATTATTTATTTATCATTTGATAAAGCGCATGTTGGGTAGTTGTTTATTAAGTTTGGTTAGTCACATAGTCATTCTATGCCAATTAATGGTGTAAATCTGAGTTTGGGGGTGAAGGAACTTATATTATGGAATTACTGCTGATGCTTTCATTTTGGAATAATTTGTGATATCTACAACTATACAAAAATGCATATTTACTCAAACTATTAAATCTTAATGATAAAAACTGGATGGCACATGCTTGATTGAAACACATGGTTACACCTCTCTCCATGCGTGTGCATGCAACATATTACTCTCTTTTCTCCATGTTCAATTTCTATACCAATATTGATACTACATAAAGAACTCTGAATCTGGTATGCACTTACTAGTTCTTGTATTAAAGCTACTACAGGTTATTGTTGTTGTCTTCTTTAGCTTAATACACATGAATAACTGAAAGTCTGGAATTTTTATTTTTTAATCTTTCATAAAATTGCAGTGATTCTTTTTTATGGTGTGAATATATATATATATATATATTTGGGCTCTAATTGAAGCTGATAACTCTGCGACATAGGTTTTGAGGCAATTTGATAAATGACATGACCCTTCATGTAGGTGTGATGTTTTGCAAAAGGATCAAGTCTTGGAGAATCATGTCCATTGTTAACATCATATAAATGCTCCTAATTAACATAGTGTAGTGTATATTTGATAATTTGACTTGCAGTCAATCCAAAGAGAAGGCAACAATAGATATGCACCAAATTCCATTCAAAAAAACAATAGAAGATTATATTCATATTACTCTAGGACATATCCTTACTAGTCAAATTTATTGCTGCTAAAATTATTTGTTGGTCAATATAACCTCTAGCAAAATGAGTAATACAAGTGGGGCAGCAGTGAAGACAATGGTGAACAAATATTAAGTTTTGTTGTCTAGGCTTGATTATTCATATAAATGGAGAGATTGAAGAGATGTGTACCATAGAATTAAGGTTAAGAGATGGTCTAATTGGAGAAGGGATTCAGTTGTATTGTGTATTCAAGGTATACAACTGCAATTAAAATTTAATTTTTAGGAAAGAACCATTTTCTATTGGAGAGAATGTTGTGTAATCAATGATCACATAGGGCGAGCATGGTAGAAACTGAGATCTTTAGATTGATGTATGGGAAGGCAATAAAGGATAAAATTAGGAATTAGTGTTTTCTTAAGATTGTGCAAGTAGAATTCATTGGAGAGTGAGAGAAAACAAATTAAGATGGTTGGATAACATGCAAAAGAGATGATTGATTGCATGGTTTAGGAAAATGATGAGATCTAGGAAATGCAAGGATAAAAGAGAACCAAAAAGCGAAGACATTTCTACGCAATGTGTCCTATTATCTTTCAAATTTTCTTTTGCATGCAACACACTGCGGGTCATGTCTACGCTTTTTGGATTGATGAGACCTAAGAAAGTTTCATGTTTCGACAAATCTTGAACTTGCCTTGCCCCTTTTAAAACCTTACATTACATTACTCTTGAAATCACTGGACTGATGAAAGCACACAAAGACAAAAATTGGTAGTTAGATTGTTCCAACAGAGTTTATTTATTTATTTATTTTGCTTGGAGACGGAGAGTTTATTAAATAGTGTAATTCTGCACAGGTTGATCAGCATACTAGTTTCTTTTTTATCACCTTTTAGCCGAGTATTTATGCATGTGTACATTCTCTTTGCTTCTCTTCCTAGAATACTCGTTGTTGTGTGTTTTTCAGAATGCTTTCTAATAGAGAATTAGCTAGACACTCTAGAAGAAGAAAACAAGCCCATTTGACTGAGCTAGAAACACAGGTTTTGTCCTTTATCTTGTCCCTTGGGACCCAGCCTATAACACTCTGCACTTTCTCATCAAAGAATACAACACATGTATTTGCTGTATTAGATAAGCCAACTGTCATGTACAGTAGTAACAAGAAATTACTCTCCAACAATGTAAATTTGAAAGAGGTTAGTCATATGTGCCCTTTCAACTCTGCTGCTTTTCCGGACAAGTAAATTTGGTTCTCTCTCTTAATTTAAAGTTTTTTCCCCCTCATCATCGTCAATTGAAATGTTGGAACTTGATTCTTTTGTATTTTTGCTTAAACACACTTCTTGAATTGGAAAAGAAGAAATCTTTAATTGTTATTCTAGTCCATGCTTCTAAAGGTAATTATATGCCACTTCTTGGTAATTTTAGCTCAACAGTTTGTTGCTGTTCTCTGTTCTGGTGTATCTGCTATATATGCTGTTCTGCTCTGCTAATCTGGTGTATGTGTAATTATCTACTCTGTTTTAGGTTAGATTTGTTCAACAAAGATTGGATTCTACTCTCATCTATTCATTTTAGGCCCTGATTCTTGAAATCAAGTGATTATTAAGGTAAATGTTTTTCTTTTATTTCATTAGCATAAGAAATATGAATGAAATTATGGAATTCAGAATGTTTGAATTGTTTAGTATATTTAAGTGATTTACGGATTATAATTTTATAATTTTTATATTTTATAGTTTTGATTTTATTTTTTATTTGTATCTCATAATGCATGCTATCAACTTATTATGATATCTAACTTTTCGAGGGACTGCTCATATAACACCTAGCTTATTGATGAATTCAACCTTATATGTTACTTCTGTTAGATCGCCACTAATCCCAAAAGGTCAAGTTGTGTGGAAAGAGGCCCAACAATGCATATTGAGCTCTCCGACACCCTCGTCATGTGCAATCCCGTCTTGCATGTGGAGATGAAAACATCCTAACATGTGGAGAAGCAAAATGCCAACAAGGAAACAAATGCATATATAGAACTTGAACCTAAGACCTTTATTAACCTGTGGTTTGACACCTTATTAGACAAACACCAGTAGTCCAGAAAATTTAAGACCTTAGGAAAGGGGCCCAACAATCATTACTTTGCTCTCCAATACTGTCACTTGGATTTATCTTTGAAAATGAATTTTCAGTTAGCCTTGATGCATCACTGCAGTATGTACTAAGCATTGTAGTCTATCATGGTTACTTGCACTTTTTTACCCTTTTATGTCATTTTCAAGTATGGCTAGTCAGAGTGTTAATGTAAATCATGTACGATGTATCTACTTCCTACCGTGTCATTTACATGTAAGTTTGTGCACTTTTGTGTTATTTCTTCCCTGAGAAAAACCTAATTGGGTTTGTGATGTGCAAGTCCCCATGGATCATACCAATTCAAAGATTGGAACAGATGCACCACCAAGCAGTACTCCAAACTGGACAATTAACATTACAGATGTGAGAAAAATACTTACTAAAAGTGCACACTAGTCGGTGCTTATAAGAAGTTCTTTTTATTCATAAACTGGACATCAGTGTGAATGTCTAAACCACTAGTTGGTGCTTATAAGAACTGCTTTTTATGAATTGGGTATCAGTGTGAATGACTGCACTTTTGTCTTCAAATGCCTATATTCGGATATGTGTCCCCCTTATGTCACCAAGATGATGAGCACAGAATTTTGGACTTTGTTGAAGTGACTAAGATTCTGTCTTGCGTGAATCTATTATCTGCCAGTTTAACCAGTTTTGATTTCTTTAAATTTTGTTTTGCAAGTGGCAAGAACCACGCCGCATTCAAAATTCAGTTAATGCAATTTGAATATTTCTTCTCCGTAATCACATTTTCTTAGTCATTACATGTACTTAGCTATTCTTTTACTTTTTTTTTCTTTTTTTTTTTCATAGGTAGGAACAGTTAAAGTCAGTAATATCTCACTAGCTACCTCTGAGAAGGATATTAAGGAATTCTTCTCTTTTTCTGGTGATATCTAGTATGTTGAAATGCAAAGGTCAGCTCTCTTGACTTACCAGTGTTAAATTTCTTGCATAATCAATGCTCCATAGAGTTTGTGGCACGTTCTGCAGGGAAACTGAAACATCTCAGCTTGCATACGTTACCTTCAAGGAATCACAGGGAGCAGATACAGCTATGCTTTTGACAGTATGTCAATTGATTTTCTATATCAGTCTTGATCTCAATTTTTTCATTATTAATTTTTAAAATAAAAAGATTTTGACTGAACGATGCAGTTCTGTACAATGTTGTAGAAATCAAACGTATTCGGAAGGCATGAAACCCTAATGTATGAAACATGTGCCTTATATTTTGTAAAATTAGGAAATTTCTAAAATATTCAGTTTAATAAAGATGTACGCAAAAAAAAAAAAAAAAAAAAAAAAAAAAAAAAACAGAAAGGAAAGAAAAACTTTACTTGCAAAGAAAAAGTTCTCAGTTAGGGGTTCACTCCTTGGAAATTTTTTGTCATGTGAACCGCAAGGTCTCACCTGAACAGTTTTTTATGCCTCCTGATGGGAAGCTTGGATGTGTAAGCTTCCCAATCTTTAGAAATATTTTTTATGCAAATGGGTGCCATTTCAAAATTTCTATTAACCCTTAGATTTATTTTATATTTTTATATTTTTGGCCTTTTTGATTCAGGGATCCACAATTGCTGATCTTTCAGTCTCTATTACACGGGTTGAGAATTACCAGCTGCCTCCTATGCTCCTCCCCTAACCCCTGTAAGTACCACGACTGTTAAAAATAGTACTTTAGTATCTGTTTTTATAATACTGTTCTATCTATTCATTCTGAAAATTTATAGATAATGCGAATGTAAAAAAGTTGGATGGGCTAATGACAGGTAAATTGGTCATGGACCTACTCACCTGATCCTGAGGCCCACATTGTAGTTTTTTGGAAACCTTAGTCGCTTTACTCCTAGAAGGATATAAAACCAAAGAAAATTATCAGTGAACAAGAAAAAATAATAATGATGGTGATAATAACAATAAAATAAATAACTCCCAGAAACCCAAGGATCCAATCAACATCCTAGAAATTAAATCCCATACCCACATA